TTTTTTTTTTTGCAAACTGGTAGTGATAGACTGATTTTTTTTTTTTCTTTTTGTGGCTCCTTTTTTTTTTTTGCTAACTCCTAGGCAGTGTGCCCAGAGTCAGCCTGTTTTTTTTCAATATCTTTTTTTTTTTCAATCTTCTTTTCCTTTAAAAACCTACTTGTGGGCTGGTTGTGGTGGCTTGCACCTGTAATCCCAGCACTTTGCAAGGCCAAAGCAGGAAGACTGCTGAAGCCCAGCAGTTTGAGACCAGCCCAGGCAACATAGTGAAACTGTCTTCAAAACCAAAACACAACAAACAAATATTTTTTTTTTTAAAAAACCCTATTTGTAACCGCTGCTAATCAGAGTGTATTTTCAGGGCAACTTGAATCTTTGCTCCTGAAGGCTGTCCTCAAAACCTGCCCAAATATATTCTACCTAATGTTTTTTTTTTTTCAGTTTTTTTCTTTAGGTCAACAATTGGTATGACCCAGTAACCCTAGAACTTTTTTTTTTTGCTTCTGGGCCTCTGGGGCCCTTGCCACTTCCCTCCTCTATTATTTCTGTTTTTTTTTTTTCCTTTCCCACTGGGATTCCCATGAAAAACTTTACAAATAGAGCAGTGACAGTTGAGTTCCCCAAGGGCTTGCTTTGAGGTAGAAAGGAAGAGTGGTTTGAAATTCCCTTACTTTTTTTTTTTCATAAGAGTAATTAAGACATTAACTATATAATCGACTCTTTAACATCAAATTTTTTTTTTTCAAGAATGTAAACTGCAGAAAGAGAAGAACCTGTCTGTTGGTTCACAGATTTTTTTTTTTTTAATATTTGATACACAGTAGCCCCTCGTTTAAACATGTGAATGAGTAAATGGAGTAGAAGCCTTAAATGAAACTGTAAAAGAGCTCTCACCAAAGGTTTATGGTTGATTATTTTTTTTTTTTCATCCCACTCACCTGTCCATTTCCTGGTTTGGACATGGTTTTGCGGGCTCTTTTTTTTTTTGGCTGTCCCTCTGGGCTAGTGGTGGCTGGAGGGGGTTCAGGCCCTGCTGCTGCAGCTCCCTGGGCTCCCGGCATACTCAGCAGCCTCATAGCCAAACTCTGGACAGATGGATTTTTTTTTTTCGCCCCTGTCATTGACATCTTGGCCCGGCTAGGACACGAACCCCCCTTGCTTTTTTTTTTTGGGAATGACTTTGTGGCATGGCCTAAAAAACAGGCAAGCAGAAGGCAAGATTTTTTTTTTTGCAGAGTCAGAAATTTCCCACCCACCCCCCAGGCTACCCAGCCTCTCACCCAGCAGGATCCGGCCCCCATGGAGGTCCCCATCTCCCTCAAGATTCTCGGATTCATCCCCATTTTTTTTTTTAGCCCCTACAGGGGTGTCAGCCCCCTCATCGCCAACAGTGACAGTGACAGAGGCTGGAGATGAGGGGCCAGCAGGCTCCAGGGAGTCGGGGGTGGCCTTGGGCAGGGTCTCTTCACTACGAGGGGTGTCCCCCAAAGAGCCATGAACTGTAGAGGAAGAGAAAAAGTTCAGATTTTTTTTTTTCGGAGATCCTGTGTCTAGGGAAGGTGACGGTCCAATTGGGGCCCGTTTTATTTTTTTTTTTCTCTCTCGGTGGCTCCTCTGGTTTCCTTCTCCAGCAGCAGCGCCCCCATCTTTTTTTTTTTCTCCCCCTGGGAGGGGAGACAAGGGACAGGAGGGCTGGTCAGCCCAGTAGTTTTTTTTTTTGTCCAGGATGCCTGGGCCCTGGGAAGAGAGAGTAGGCTCCGGGGCCTACCTTTTTTTTTTTGGGGCCCCCCCCTTCCGCGGCCTCGGCTGCCCGGAGGGGCCGCACGACCCCTCCCCCGGGCCCGCATCAACCCCCTCCCTCTCGGTAGACCCCGCATCTCTGGGGCCGAGATTTTTTTTTTTGGAGGGGGCGGGGCCTCCGTGCCCCGGCCCCGCCCCCTCCTCCCGGCTGCTTTTTTTTTTTCCCCTTTGTCCCCCAGGCCGCGGGGACCCCGGGCACCAACCCCTCCAGCATTTTTTTTTTTCCAGCCCGGTGGACGGCCCCTCGTGCCCCTCACGCGTGCTCCTGGGGCCCCGGCGCCCGCCGCCCACTCAGGGGCAGCCGGCGGCTGCACGCGCGCCTCCGTGCCCACTCCCCCCCCCCCCCCCCCCGCACGCGCGCCTCCGTGCCCACTCCTTTTTTTTTTTACCCCCTGGTCCCCTCATCCGCCCCCGGTGCTGGCCCCCCGGATTGCTGGTTTTTTTTTTTGGGCCCCCCGGCCCCGTTGCACCCCCGGAGCATTGCACGGGCGCGCGCTTCCCCCGGGCGCGCGCGCGGGCATGCACCCGCCTCTCCCCCTCCCCTTCCGCACCTCGGCGGTTTTTTTTTTTGCAGCTCCCGCCGCCGCCGCCATCGCCGCTTGCGCGGGGGGCCGAGCCGGTTTTTTTTTTTCCCGGGTCACGTGGGCGAGGGAGGGAGGGCGAGGAGGAGCCTTAAAGGAGCCGCTACACGCTTTCTGGCCATTTTCCCCTGACAGCGGCTTCGGAGATGGCTGTGACTGTCCTAAGCTGGGAGCTGCAAGGGAGAATTCCTGTCATTCCTGGCCTCAGCTCTGCAGGGACCGAGGGCGAGGCACGCCTGGGCCTAGGTGTGGCGTCTCTGTCCCCATCTGGTTTTAGGTAACAAGCGGAGCTTCTGAACCTCCCGGCTCTCGGCAGCGGCTGTATTTCCTCTGGCCTGCTTGGGCTTTTCCCGCCTCTGGTTGCTTTTCTGCCTTTCTAGTTTTTGGGTTACCAATTAGAAGGCTTTTTTTTTTTTTTGGCCTCGCCTTTCTAACGAGCAAGAAGAGGGTGATAGGGACGCGGAGGTTTTTTTTTTTCTTGGCTGCTTCTAGCATATTGCTTCATGTTTCCTGGAGCAGCGTGCCCTTTTGAAAACCTGTGGCAAAATGTCTCTTCTGTTTATATCAGGCGTGTTACACCTCCACACGTTTTTTTTTTTCAGGTAAGCCCAGCGGCCCGAACGTCATTACTGACTGGTGACACTGCAGTAAGTAAACCTTTTTTGCCGAACACTTCATAAGCACAGTCAGGTACTCCGTGGGTCATAGCCCAGCGGACACTTTAAGTATAAATGATGTACACCAAGATAGACAACCTCGATAGCTGTATTTTTTTTTTTTTTCTTTTAGGTATTACGTTTTGGTCGAGTTAGAAAATATCTGTATGATTTCATTTTTTTTTTTTGACACAGGCAGGTGGGGCACCTGAGGCCAATTCAAGGCCTTCTGGGAACTTTTTTTTTTTTTGGTTAACTATTCCAGAGCTTTCTGGGAATTGTAGTTTTCCCTGCACCTTTTTTTTTTTTTAGCTTTTTTTTTTTTTTTTTTAGCTTTTCTGAAGACATGAACCATTTACTTTTTTTTTTTTATGACCAACACAGATTCCTGCTTACAATTTCCGTGGGCAGGTTGGCCACTTTTTTTTTTTCCCTAGCACTGATCTAAGTCCCTCAAATAGAGTTCATGTGCATCCCCACGACTGCCATCACTTGTACCGTGAAGTACCTGGCTAAGTGTTGAGATTGCAGAACTGATGGAATTTTTTTTTTTGGGACTTGGGGGAGTCCCTGACCAGAGGAGCTCACTTGTCACACTCCTCTCCTATGTTTAGGGCTGGGCTCCTTCAGGCAAGGGACATGCATGAGTTGTGACCTCCAGGTATTAATGCAGCATCACAGGGAGAGGCTGTCTAGGGCAGGATAGTCATGTACAGGCAGTTGCCTTTTTTTTTTTAAAAAAAAAGTTTTTGGTTTTTTTTTTTGTTTTTTTATTTTGTGGAAAACTTTTTTTTTTTAACTAAAACCCCAAACTCCAGAAAAAATCCTAAAAAATATGTTTTTTCTTTTTTTTTTTTTTATGTCTCTACTCCTCTCCCTCCCTCCCAAGAGCCCTTCTTGTGTTCTTTTTTTTTTTTTTGCCCTACCCCCCACCCCCATGACTATCCATTGTTCTTGCTATTGTACCCCTTTTTTTTTTTATCTACCCAGGATGCGCACCCCATGTTCTCTTACCTGGCGTCTTACTTTGTTTTTTTTTTTATTTCAGCAAGCCTCATACTCGCAGTCCCATTTCCCCAGCATGCAAGAACTGTCTCCCCCTTCCTTTTCTGGGACTCAATAATCTTTTCCCCTTACCACTCCCTCACCCCATTTTTTTTTTTAGCAGGAGCATGTCCTCCTGCCAAATTCCCTCCCTGTACCCACCCACCCATTTTTTTTTTTTATCTGGAGAAATGTCAGAACCTTTCCCTGGGCAGCCTTAGCCAGGAATAAAACATTTTTGTCTTCCCTTGTTATATAGGACCCTTTTCCCTCCCTCCACATACACATGCACCTCTAAGAGAAGGAAATCTTTCTCTGGGACCCCGTATTTCCCTGGCCTACTCCAAGAACCTTTTTTTTTTTTCCAGCTTCTTGCACTCTGAAGAGCAACAGTCTTCTCTCCAAGGAATCATTTTTTTTTTTTCAGGATGTGTGCATCTGCTCAGCCTCCTACTCTTACCTTTCTGCCCCAGATTTTTTTTTTTCCAATTCTCCTGGGCCAAAGAGCCCTTTTCCCACCCAGCCCAGGGACCCCAGCCTCCTGGCCTCCACGCCTGCGCGGCTAGCGGATGAGGACGTTGATCTCGGCCACACTGTTTTTTTTTTTGTTCTCGGCCGTGGTCTTGCCGTGTTGCTCCTTGAGGTGCCGCCTAATGGCAGGCTTGTGGGCGAAGCGCACGTCGCAGTAGGAGCAGCGGTAGGGCCGCGCTCCCGAGTGTTTTTTTTTTTGGTCGTGCAGGGTGGACTTCTGTGTGAAGCACTTGCCGCAGATGCCGCACGAGTGTGACTTGACACCACGATGCACGTTCATGTGGCGGTTGAGGTTGCTGCTGTGGTTGAACTGCTTGCCACAGCGAGGGCACATGAAGATGAAGTGCTGCGCCCGCATGTGGAAGACCAGTTTTTTTTTTTCCTGGAACACTTCCGGGCACTTGGTGCATTTGATGTTCTTTAAGGGGTTTTTTTTTTTTTTTCCCCCAGGCAGGGGTCCCCGGCTGCCCCCCGCCCCCAGGCTGCCCCCCGCCCCCCGGGCAGCCATGGCCACCGCTGCTGCTTCCACCAGGCCCGAGGTGGCCCCCACGCTTTTTTTTTTTTCAGGAATCAACAGCAGGCCCTCCCCTTCTGCGTCCTCGGACAGGCTATAGTTTTTTTTTTTCACACCCTGTGGTGGGGCTACAGTGCTGGGGGGCACGCTGCTCTGGGCCATTTTTTTTTTTTGGCCACCCACAGAGCCTCCAATGCCCAGACCCCCTCCCAGGCCTCCAGGTTTTTTTTTTTGGTGTGCCACCTCCAGGGCCGACTCCACCTTGACGATGCAGATGTCAGACTTTTTTTTTTTCTCATCCTCATCCTCTTCCTCCGCTTTCAGCTCCAAGTCCTCATCCAGTGTTTTTTTTTTTTTCACTGGCCGCAGGAGTGGAGGGGGTAGAGGAGGTGGGGGTGGGGGCTTTTTTTTTTTTTTTGGGGTCCTGGCTGGAGGGAGGAGGGACTTGGTGGCGCTTACGCTGCTCTTTTTTTTTTTCTCACTGACCCCATCATCTTTGAGGCCTATTTTGGGCTCAATGAACTGGCTTTTTTTTTTTCGGCATTTCTCCACCACGTGCTCCATCTGCAGGTAGGAGGCGGCTGTCAGTTTTTTTTTTTTGTCCCTAACAGCGAATTCCAGGGCGCCCGTGTAGCAGGAGAGGAGCAGGTTTTTTTTTTTGCGTGCACTGTGCATCAGGGAGACCTGCAGCTCTGAGCTGGGGTTCAGCAGGAACTGGTCCCGCAGGAACGGTGAGCAGGCGGCCAAGATGACCTTGTGGCCTCGAAACTTTTTTTTTTTTTCCACAATGGTCACGTCGCAGAACCGCTCCTCTGCTCGGAGCTGGTTCATGTTTTTTTTTTTAGCGGCCTCGTGGCCAGGCAGCTGGAAGCGCAGGACTTCCACCCCAGAGGTTTTTTTTTTTGGGGTGGGCAACCCTGGTTGGGAAGGAAACCGGTCAGAGACAAAGGTCTCTTTTTTTTTTTAGCCAAGGCTCCAGGACCCTCGCCCCCATTCTTGCCCAGCCCCCCGGCATTTTTTTTTTTTGTCTTCAGATCTCTTCCTCAGTTTCCCCAACCCTGGGGAGGCGCTGTCCCTTTTTTTTTTTGGAGGCGTGGTTCTCGGGGGCGGGGCAGCGGCGTCCACACCCCCCAGTCCTTTTTTTTTTTAGGATGGGGCGAGCCCGCGCGCCCACAGTGGAAGGACGGAGAAAAGGGGGTTTTTTTTTTTGGGGCTCTGGACGCCGAGGTGGCCCCGGTTGCAGACTCTTCTCACCCCGCTTTTTTTTTTTGCTGCCTCATTCCTCCGCCCCCCCCTACACGTTTGCACGCGCTTTTCACGTTTTTTTTTTTCCGCCTGCACGCACCGTGCACGCCCTGCCCCCACGCTCAGAGCTCCGTGGTTTTTTTTTTTAGCCCCACGACCCTGAGTGCACGCTCCTCTCACCTGGCCCGGTTCCGCGCGCTGTTTTTTTTATCCCCTATTTTCCCCACCCCCCCGGGGCCTGCAGCGCCCCCCACACACTTTTTTTTTTTGGGCAGCGCGCAGGCGCGGGGGTGCACGGGGCGCGCGCGCGGGGCCGGCTTTTTTTTTTTTTAAGGGGGGAGGGGCGGGGGCGGCTCGTGCTGTGTGTTCCAGGCCCCGCGTTTTTTTTTTTGGCGTCGGCTAGGACTCGGGGAGGAGGAAGAGGGGAGGGAATTAAAGGAGCAGGATCCCCCCTTCCCGACCCCCCTTTCTTCACCAGCACCCCCACGCGGTTAAAGGGCCGTTTTTTTTTTTCTCCTCTTTGGCCGGGATTATTTGTCCGCCAGAGCGGAAATACGTTCCACTTTTTTTTTTTTCTCGCTCCCCCTCCTCTGTGCCTCCAGGCCCCGCGGCCAGTCTGCGCGTGCGTGCCAAGTGCCGCGCGGAGGCCCGCTCACTCGGGCCCGCCCCCCAATCCCGGCTGCCCATGGAGCTACCCGCTCCGCGTCCCCGCGCGCCCCGCCTGCGCAGCATCCCGCAGCGCGCGCTTTTTTTTTTTCTCTAGGCTGCCGGCGCTGTCACCTGCTCCCAGGGGTGGTGCCTCTCCGGTCCAGCTGTGCAGAGCGCTGCCCTGGGTGCATCAGCGGCACCTCTCAGGGGCCCAACCGACCTGTGGCTAACAGAGCTGTTGGTAGGTATTGCCCGCGCCTGCCTCCGCTGCTGAGTGTGTTTTTTTTTTTTTCAGCCACATTTCCAGGCTTTTCAACTCTTGTAAAGCTAGTAACCGCCTCATTTTTTTTTTTCTGAAATATGATTTCACTTGCCACAAGACAAGACGATCCAGTGCCCGCAATTTTTTTTTTTTCCATGTCAGTCCTGTAAAATCACACCCGCACTCCCCTCCATTCTCAGGATTAATCCTAACTTCTTGCCAAGACAGTCGCTCTCCACTTGTGCCCCTCCACTTGTGCTATCTTTTTTTTTTTCCATTTCACCTTTAGTATATAATTAACCCTAGGACTAATTTTAATGATGTTTTTTTTTTTTGTATGATTCTACTCTAATCTTCCATTGCACCGTCCCCCTTATTCCTCACCTTTTTTTTTTTCTGACAATGTCCAGCTCTAAACAAAACTTCCCTTCAACACTGCGCCCGGGTTTTTTTTTTTTCTTGTCTCTTTCAGACTAAGTTACGGTCTCCACAGCTTCAGCGACAGCATTTTTTTTTTTCTTGAAGGCTGTTCCTTTCTCTTTCCCTTCTTCTCACCTGATACTTACACTTTTTTTTTTTCCTATCCAAGTCTGTGTGAAGATGGCACTGTTTCCTGCCAATTGGATTTCTTTTTTTTTTTTTTTTGAGACGGAAGTTTTTGCTCTTGTCCCCAGGCTGGAGGTGCGTGGCCGGGATCTCAGCCTCACTGCAAGCTCCTCCTCTCGGGTTCACGCCATTCTCCTTGCCTCAGTCTCCCGAGTAGCTGGGACTACCAGCACCCGACCACTTCGCCCGGCTTAGTTTTTGTAATTTTTTAGTAGAGACGGTTTTTCCACCGTGGCTTAAGCCAGGGATGGTCCTCGACTCCCTGGACCTCCATGATCGCCGTCTCAGCTCCAAAGTGCCTGGATTACAACTGGGCACCGCGCCCGGCCGGATTTCTTTTTACGTCTTCAGGAGAATAGTGCGTTTTTTCCTTACGTTTTAATTCTGGATGAAGGGTTTCTTTTTTTTTTTTTTTTTGAGACGAGGTCCCTCCGCCTCTGTCGCCAGGCTGGAGTGCAGTGGCCAGATCTCAGCTGCACTGCAAGCCCGCCTTCCCGGGTATCCCTGCCATTCTCCTGCCCTCAGCTCCCGAGTAGCTGGGACCACAGGCCCGCCACTGCCCGGACTAATTTTTGTTGTGTGGGGTGTTTTTTTTTTTAGTAGAGACGGGGTTTCGCCTGTTAGCCAGATGGTCCCGTCTCCTGAACCTTGTGATCCGCCCGTCCTCGCCTCACCAAAGTGCTGGGTTACAGCTTGAGCCACCGCGCTGGCCCTGATGAAGTTCTTATAATTGTTCAATATCCTGGTTTCCCCTGACCTATAAAACTCCTTGGTTGCAGGAATTAATGTTGCTGGGTTATGTTCTGCAAACAAATACAACAAAAAAAAAAATCATGCAATAGGGGCGTGTGGTGCATCAAAACGCCTGGCTATCCCCAGCCACCGTGAGGCCAACGGCAGGTGGATCATTTGAGGTCGGGAGTTCGAACCAGCTGGCCAACACTGGTGAAACCCTGTCCTCTACTCAAAAAAAAATTAGCCAGACAACGCTGCGCAGGTGCCGTCTAATCCCAGCTACTGGGAGGCCTGAGCGGAGAATCCCTTCGAACTGGAGAGTGGAGGTTTCAGTGAGCCTAGATTGCGCCATTGCACTCCAGCCTGGGTGACAGAGCAAGACTCCTTGAAACAAAACAAAACAAAAAACCAAAAAAGGTCATGCAACAAATGATTGTTGAAGTAATTCCTCTTTGGCTCAGCCAGCATCCACCCATAAAAAGTTTGTGCTTGAGCTGAAACTGAATTCTTGAACTCAAGGGATGCTGTTTGGCAGGAGGGCGGAGGCAGCGTAGACAGCGTTTAGGTGGTACCTTGACTCTTTGCCTTTTTCTTTTAAATTATCTGATTTTTATGCTTGCACCCAGTTCCCTCTATGGAATCTAAAAGTCTGTTCTAAACCGCTCTCTTTGTAGTTAGGCCATGTAGATTTGAGGAAGAACACATGATTTTGTGTCAGACGCACCTAGGCTTAAAGCCACATTCCTAGGAGTTTCTGAGCCTACTCTGGCTCAGAAGGCTGCCAGATTCACAAATCATTTTTAAAAAATAAAAGCCATATTCCTGTACTAACTGAGGCCCTTTGGGCAAGTTACTTAATTCTCTGAATCACAGTGTCCTTATCTCTGTCTCCCCCGCCCATCCTTAGTTCATCTGAAAGCATTTTTATCTTGAAGGCCCTGATCCCTCACAGGGCTAGTGTGAGGTTTAAATGAGCCTGGCATGCAGTAGATGCTGAGTAAACAATGGCTCTGTTCCCCTTTTCCTAATTTGGGAGACGTACTGTGAAATTTTCAAAAGAATTTTAATTAATTATTTATTTAGCTGGAGTTTTGCTTTTGTCACCTAGGCTGGAGTGCAATGGCATGATCTTGGCTCACTGCAACCTCCGCCTCCCAGGTTCAAGCGATTCTCCTGCCTCAGCCTCCTGAGTAGCTGGGATTACAGGCGTATGCCACCACGCCTGGCTAATTTTGTATTTTTAGTAGAGACGAGGTTTCACCATGTTGGCCAGACTGGTCTTGAACTCCTGACCTCGGGTGATCTGCCTGGCTCAGCCTCCCAAAGTGTTGGGATTATAGGCATGAGCCACTGCACCTGACCCAAAATAACTTTAAAACGTCTGTTTTTCTCTCTCATCTCTTCTTTTCCTCATTGCCAAACTTCTCAGAAGAACAGTTCACATTTCATTGAGAGCAGAAATACATAAAAGCTGTCAAGTTAAGAATTAGAGTTGGTAAAATTTTGTTTCCTATCCCTTTCTTGCTACTTTTCCTTTCTGGGAATGTGGATGGGACAGGGGGCCTAATCTCAGTCCATGGCTTAAGACAGGTAGTCCTTGGTGGCAGGTGGAGTTGAGAGCCAATGAATCCTTCAAGTGTCCAGCCCACCCAGTTACAGCTCTGCATAAAGACAAGCAGAGGTGCACAAGCTGTCATTTAGATCCTTGTCCCTTCTTCACCAACTTCTGCCAGTATAAAACCAGGAGCTCTCCTGTCCTTAGCTTGCAGTACCAAAGGCCTTGGTGTGGTGTCAAGAACAGATACATTTAGGAGATACATGTAGGATTCTTGGGTCAGGCTCATTCCTATAATCCCAGCACTTTGGGAGGCGGAGGCAGGAGGATCCCTTGAGCCCAGGAGTTTGAGACCAGTCTGGGCAACATAGCAAGACCCCATCTCTACAAATAATAAGAAAATTAGGAGGGCATGATGGTGTGTATGTGCTTGTGATCCCAGCTACAAGACAGGCTGAGGTGGGAGGACTGCTTAAGCCCAGGCAGTTGAGGCTGCAGTGAACCATGATAGTGCCACTGTACTGCAGCCTGGACAACAGAGTAAGACCCTGTCTTAAAAAAAAAAAAATTAGGATTCTTAGTGAGCTTTAAAAATAAAATCTGGGCTGGGCACTGTGGCTCATGCCTGTAATCCCAGCACTTTGGGAGGCTGAGGTGGAGGATCACTTGAGGCCAGGAGTTTGAGACCGGCCTGGGCACCTGTCTCAAAAATAATAAAATAACAAATAAAAGTAAATATATTTTTAAAAGGAAACAAAATTTGACTAGGGATGCAAGGAACAACAAGAGACAGAAGGTCCAGGTTGCAGTCCATCTTCAAGTCATCGAGGCTCCCCAGGTTTCAGTATTCTCTTTAACAAAATGGAGGGATTACTCTCTGAAGTATTTGCCAGTCCTATGAGTCCATAACAGCTTACTTTGAAAAGGGGTGTGAGGCCGGGCACGGTGGCTCATGCCTGTAATCCCAGCACTTTGGGAGGCCGAGGCGGGTGGATCATGAAGTCAGGAGTTCAAGACCAGCCTAGAGCCAAGCCTGGCCAAGGATGGTGAAACCCCGTCTCTACTAAATAATCAAAACTTAGCTGGGCCGCGCTGGTCGGGCGCTGTATCCCAGCCACTAGGGAGGCTGAGGCAGGAAATTGCCTTGAACCCGGGAGAGCGGAGTTTGCAGTGAGCCGGAGATCTCGCCACTCGACTCTAGCCTGGGTGAGACAGCAGACTTCTGCCTCAAAAAAAAAAAAAAAAAGAAAGAAAACAAGAAAGGGGTGTGTATTGTTTTGGGCGGTCGGTCTGAGAGGAAACTAGCTCACAGCTAGGAGCACTACCCTTGGTCGGCTACTCATAGAGGCTAAGTAGAGTGGGCTTGGTAAAATCCAAAAACTGTTAGCAACAATCAGACATTTTCTCCCTGCGACTTCAAGTATTTTAGGGCTGGGGCTTAGTTTTTCAGGAACGGATGCTTACACACAGCTAGGAATAACCGCATCATTGCCCTGAGGCAAGCCATAGTCAG